CCGGTCGCCTGAAAAAAAGTGGGTACATGATAACGTAATCTTCCGCAGTGTTTACAACGGTCAGTTACGTCTCTGTATGTCTTATCTACTCTGTGACCAGGCGGTCGGATTTCACAGCGTTTTGACATGTTTTCATCAGACCTTCGTTTTGCGCCTCCCAACCGCGAATTTTAGGGCGAGCAAAACGAAGGTCTGTATTCAGGCTAAGTTTCAGATGGCATGCAACATGTACGCACTGCGTACCTATTTTTCTAGTGTTTTATTGGTCGAGAGCATATCACGTGAGAGCGACGAAATTGGGCTGTCTCCCTCGCAACAGCGTGAGAGGGAAACAATACATTATCGATCGGTGAATAACGAATACAAATCACGTGCGCCATCACGTGAAGATGCGACGTTTGGATATGCCTAGTAATTTATTAAACTTTCGCTTTAAGTAACTGCAGTGTTTAATTCAGTTAACGTTTTAACAATAAAATATTTCATGTATTTACGTTCATTTGTTCTTTAATTTGTCGTTTCTTTGACTATTGATATTTAGTATAATTACATAGGTGATTATTGAAAATTTCTCCACGCTGATTGGTTGCCGTTAAGGTGATTATTACGCGATAATCACCTAAGCGATTTTCAAAATGGCGGCCGAAGCCGTTTTGTCAATTAAATGACGAAGAAATGTGTATTTTTTATTTTTTTCTAAATAATCACCTATGAAATTATACTAGTTTTAGTCACCTCAGGCTCGGTGATTATCATGAATAAAAACCTCGACTTCGTCTCGGTTTTTATTCACCGATAATCACCTCGCCTTCGGCGAATAATTGTTAAATAATAAAACAATTCTTTACTGAGAAGTGATAGTTGTAAAAATCTGGAACATAGCTATTGCATTTTTTTGGACACCCTGCATTACTTGTACTTCGACTTGTACTCCCTCAATGGTTAGCTCTTATGCAAGAGGGTTCTATGCTCGAATACTTCAAATAACTGCAAATATTTTACCACCTTCAGGTCATTCTGACGACTCGATAGTTACTGCAATTGACATCACATCAAATGGGAAATTAGCTCTGACCGGTAGCAGTTCAGGAACATTATCGCTGGTGAACTTGGACAGTCAGGTAGTTGAGACGTTCACAACGACCAAAGCTGGAGTCGGTGTACGTTTGGTTTGCATATTGAGTGATGAGGTTCGTTTTGTATTTGTCGATCAGGCAAACAGAGTGGAATTAAGAGATTTGAGTAATAAAGAGGCTGAGTTACTATTGGATCAACCAGCTGTTAATGTGACCTGCATTACTACTCTTGGTGTAGACTATGTATTGCTTGGTTGTGAAAACGGAGAACTGTTATTGTTTAATTTACATGTTAAACAATATATGTATGAACATCAAGCTCATTCCGAAGCCGTTTCTCAAGTTAACAGCGACGCAGCTAGTTTGCTTCACTTTGTATCGGGCTCTGCCAGTGGGTGTGTGAAACTTTGGCATGTGTCGAAAACACGAGAAAGCGGAAGTACGTCACAAAACATCAATTCATTATTCTGCAGCCTTGGTGGAGCCAAGTTCACGCCTTTGTGGAGCCAAGTTTGGTCACATGACAACGTTTACCCGCATCCCATTACCGCTCTAACATTCGTGCCCGACTACAAGGACATCATGATTGGTTCCTTCTATGGCAACAAGGTATGTTAAGTTTGTTTCTAATGTGACTATAGTGACCACTAAAACCTATCCATTTGGTCGTAACTGTCGTGAGCAAATCATTTTCGACGATGTGAAAGTCTGCATATATCTTGTCTTTTGTGTGGCTGCATGTAAATCAGTCTTTACTGACTGTAGAGATATATGGGCACATTGATCAGCTTCATATGTTCACAACAGCTACGAGTAAATGAAAACCAGGAGTTGAAAGCCGGTTAGCTAAATTGCTGGTTAACAAAAAACGTCAAAGTAAACTCTTCGATAGATTATTTAAAAACTTTTATAGCAAGTTTTTTCATATTAAGTCTTTCCTCTAAGTCGACGTGCAGAAATGTAGAAATCCAAAATAGTGGGAAATTTTAACCCGCTAATCGCTTTAAACAACTGGCGTCGTGTTGAGGCTCCTTCGGAACAGCGTGCTTTAATTCAAGGATTATTCTCGTAAATATCTCACATCTTATAAAAAGGATGTGTCACGCAACAGGCTTGTAGCAAGCTCCTCAAGAACTTGTAACAGTGGTGCCATTTTATCAAGTTGCTACAAGGTTGTCACTCGCAACTAATTGTTAACAAGTTGTTGAATGGCAGGATGAGACCATGTTGTTGGAACAAAGATGAACAATTCGCAACCAGGGGTCCTTGGTTATTTATCCACCTAATATAGTCTGGTTAATTTAACCAGGACGTCCTGGTCAAATATAACCAGATTACTGAGCAGCATACTAATATTGTCGGTCCCATGCTTTCCGCGACGTATGTTTTTTGAGATTTTCGGATTTCAGTTTGTCACACAGCTGAACAATGTATTGACGACGTTTTGCGACGTATTTCTGCTTTTTGGTGTTTTCGTGGGAATTTCGTGGGGGTAATATATCATGGAAATGCTTGTTATGCTTTGTAAACACAGAAATTCACAGATACTACAGTATGTCGTTAAAATTCATGAATAACCAATGAATGAAGTTGGTGTCGTAAGGTCGTTTCAAATTAAGTTATTAAGTTAAGCTTAGCAAAATGTCATTCGTAACTGTTGGCGTAAGGAGAAAACTTTCGTGTGCGGTGCACTTTTGTAAGTTTTTCGTCACTCGTAACGCGTTAAGGCCCTGTCACACTATTTCGTATCGTACTAGCGTATGGCAGCGTATGAAAAATATCACTCATACGCCGGTATACGCTGACATACGCTAGGGGTACGTTAGGCATAGGTTGTATACGTTTCAAGCACGGTCGCGTACGGTGGCATACGCTGGCATACGGCGAGGCAGAAAATTTTTTTTAAGCATGCTCAAAAATTTTGTGCGTATTGGACCTATGCTTTATACGATAAGCACACTCTAGGCACACGCTGAATACGCTAGAGGTACGCCAGGTGTACGGTACTCATACGCTGGTATTTCAAAGGACTTTTGTGCGTATGAAAATTATTTCGTTAATTTTCATACGCTTCTCATACGTTTCTCTCATACGCAATAGTGTGACAGAGCCTTACGACAAGTATCCTACGTGTTGAATATTTTTTGTCACGAATGAACATTTCCTCCTTGTGTGTGCGCTCGAAAAGCTATCACCTTTCATTGTAGATCGAATAGGCATGCGTAATAAAACATAAGAGAAAAGGGAAATAATTAATGAGGAATGTGATACTTGAGTAGCGACATATGAATATTCCTCATTAATTATTTTCCTTTTGCAATTGTCTTATGCTTTATTACGCATGCCTATTCGATCTCGATTGAAAGGTGATAGCTTTTCGAGCGCGAACGCCTGGAGGAAATGTTGATTCGTGACTGAAATTATTCAGCATGTTGAATATTCGGTGACAGATGATAGATTATGATAGATTATGTATGATCTATCATCTGATTCCGTGACGATGGCACGCGTGGCTGAAATTGCTTAAAACGCCATCGCACACTGGGGGAACTTGCTTACGCCAACAGTCACGAGTGACGCTCAGCTCAGCAGATAGCTCTCGTGTGCGCCAAGCTTAACACTCTCGTGTGAAATAACCGAGTATCGACCAATATGCAAATTTTGAAACAAATTTCAGAGACATACGTTGGTAAGGTCTATAGTGATAAACACGGGTTTTATAGTATTAGAGGTTTGAAGCAGGAATAAAAATCGAGACATATATACGGCAAATTTAAAAACTTAGCTGCTGCTATATGTTGGTAGGTTGAAGGTCATTAAGGGAATAGAGAGATTAAGTCTGACCAAAATTGGCATACGGAATATAAACCAAATACCGGTTAGGCTTTGCAGCATTAGATTATTATGGTGGCCGATCGCTATCATTCATTTTTTTGTTATTATATAAAGTAAAATAAAAACAAAATGAAAATGAAAATAAAATCAAACTCAAAATGAAACTAAAATAAAAATGAAAATAAAATCAAAATCAAAGTGAAAATCAAAGTGAAAATAAAATCAAAATGAAAATTAAAATGAATATAAATTTTATCGGCCTATCGCTATCAAAATTAATTTGAAATGTAATACAATTTTAAAATATAATTCAAGGGAAAATAACAAAAAAAAGTTTTTTCAAAATAAATTGCTTTTTTTTTCAAAAATGAAATGAAAATGAATTTTTTATCGGCCTAGCGCTATCACAGTATCCCATGTGGCATTGCGCGCATAGCTTGTGCTTCCACTGATATAATTATAAACATTTTGACTGTAGATTTCTATTGTAAAACTGATATTTTTCCGAGTTTTCGCCTTATACTCGACAAGTATGCGAAGAAATCAAGTCAAATCTGGTATTTCGAGAACAAGCACACATCATAGAAGAATGAAGAACATTTGGATGTTGAAAGAAACTAAATCGCAGGTAAATAATTTGACATTTTCACCGTCGAAAATCAGAGCCAAGCGAGCGTCAGAACACAACACACTACACTGTCTGTCTATACTTCTAGATATTACAAAGTAATTTTGATTTTTCAGTATAAAATAGTCACTTACTACAGTACTAAAACAATTATTTACGTTTTTGAGTGAATAGGTAGGTTTAATAAGCAGCATGCCATATAAGATATTAAACAATTTGTAATTGACGTTTTATGCTTCGGCTGATAAATTTGTTCAGACCAACTGGCCAGGGTGCATTGGGCTATTCCATTTAATATCCGTACCCAACTCCCTGTCGAGGATCCCTGGAATTCTTCAGGGGTAAAGTGTTTTGAGCTTGGAATTCTTCAGGGGTAAAGTGTTTTGAGTTTGGAATTCTACAGGGGTGAAGGATTTTGAGCTTGGAATTCTTCAGGGCTAAAAGGTTTTGAGCTTGGAATTCTTCAGGGGTATAACCATGAAAAACATGTATCCTCGACAGGGGGTGTACGGATATTAAATGGAATAGCCCATTCCATGTAAAGTACTCCGTAGATAATCCAACATATACAATAGTTCACGCCAATATGTTGGAGATTTTAACCCCGGGACCAAAGTCGATGTTAAAATGGCATTTAATGGCTATAAACCTGGCATGTTTTATTTACTGTTGGGCCATTCCATTTAATGTCCACACACACCCTATGGATGAGTTTTTCTGAAGGGTGACTCAAAAAGTCGTTTCTAGCCTGTCGGCATCCTTTGATCTCTGCAATTTTTCTGAGGGTTAAGCGGAAAATTTAGAAATTTCTGAGGGGTGTTTTGTGTCGGCACTTTGATATTTTTTTCTTAGGGGTTAAAATTTTACTGACCTCATCCATAGGGGGGGGGGGGAGTGGATTTTAAATGGAATGGCCCATTAACATCATATCCTTGAAGTTTATATACTGTGAATATAGAATTTATAGATATTGTATGACAATCAATTCAGCCACAAACTTCTACTGTAGTTACACTTATCACTTCTTTTTGAGTGATCTCATGTCAATTCTTGGGTTTCACTATGGCATTATACAGTGAATCTGACGGGGGGCAAACTCAAGTGTATTGATGCTTATGCTGTACTCGAATGAGAAAATGATACAAAATTCCATGTATTCACCATCAAACACAAGGCTAACACATAAAAAGAACAATCGACTCACATGAAAAGTATAGAATAAAAATGCAGATGACATTGACAACATGAGATGATAAAGATCTTTAATGTAATATAAACTGACACAACAACTACAGGTGTTTATTGACTGTTGTAAGCTTCATAGTATTAGTGGCCGACCACTTAACTTTTTTTTTTTTGGGGGGGGGGGTTGATTTTGAAAAAAATTTCCTGCAAGGCTATTCTGAACAAAAATAAATCATGCACTAACAAACTGGGGGGAAAATATCCTGCCCCAATATTCGTTGGGGAAAAAATGTTGCGGAACAGCATGTTTGCATGGATCGATTTGACCAGTCCCAGAAGATCATCAGCTCGCTGGTTTGATTTTCAGGGTCTAGTGTAAGGTTAATTTCTTTTTGGATTTGACTTGTGGTGCATAGCCTATATCGAAGGGAAGATGGCTGTGGTTTTCATTAGAATAACACTATAACTCATTATCTATGTAAGTCAACTTTTATTCATAAATATGGTCCTTCACCGTCACATGTGCATTGAATTTTTACCAAATCCACCAATTGCTCCCTGGCCAGTTGGTCTGAACAAATTTATCAGCCGAAGCATAAAATGTCAATTACAAATACACTGCAAACTATCGCGTTTAATATCTTATATGGCATGCTGCTTATTAAACCTACCTATTCACTCAAAAACGTAAATAATTGTTTTAGTACTGTAGTAAGTGACTATTTTATACTGAAAAATCAAAATTACTTTGTAATATCTAGCGTATAGACAGACAGTGTAGTGTGTTGTGTTCTGACGCTCGCTTGGCTCTGATTTTCGACGGTGAAAATGTCAAATTATTTACCTGCGATTTAGTTTCTTTCAACATCCAAATGTTCTTCATTCTTCTATGATGTGTGCTTGTTCTCGAAATACCAGATTTGACTTGATTTCTTCGCATACTTATCGAGTATAAGGCGAAAACTCGGAAAAATATCAGTTTTACAATAGAAATCTACAGTCAAAATGTTTATAATTATATCAGTGGAAGCACAAGCTATGCGCACAATGCCACATGGGATACTGTGATAGCGCTAGGCCGATAAAAAATTCATTTTCATTTCATTTTTGAAAAAAAAGCAATTTATTTTGAAAAAACTTTTTTTTGTTATTTTCCTTTGAATTATATTTTAAAATTGTATTACATTTCAAATTAATTTTGATAGCGATAGGCCGATAAAATTTATATTCATTTTAATTTTGATTTTGATTTTATTTTCATTTTGATTTTGATTTTATTTTCATTTTGATTTTGATTTTATTTTCATTTTTATTTTGATTTTAGTTTCATTTTGAGTTTGATTTTATTTCCATTTTCATTTTGTTTTTATTTTATTTTATATAATAACAAAAAAATGAATGATAGCGATCGGCCACCATATACTTTGTTTATGCTTCTTGTGACATGTAGACTTTATATATTAATCAGATCGCTACTTAATAACACTGTTTATACCTATTTAATATTTTAAACTACAAGAATACGACAATGTAGCATGGCCTTGTGTAATACGATCTCTACAACATGTACACAACAAGTAAAATGGATCATGTTGCCATTGTGAATACTTATTTATGGCGCGTGTTTCTGCTACGAATGAAACACGAGGAGTAGTGAATTAAACGTGGAAATTCTCTTCCTGCTTAACAATCAATCAAATGTTTTAAACTGCATCACCATATTGCATTTTTTTGACCATCCATGTCAAAGGAAAAAATATGCGATTAAATAACAATTTTTAAAACGTCAAGTCATCCTTGTCAATCTATTTCTCGATGAGAATTGGATGTCTGTTTGACATTTGGCGAAAAAGCAATTTTTTAAGTTACATTTTTTCGTAAACCGAACACATATAAAAAATATTAATTTGCTTGGCAACCCCC